CACTGTCTTCACGCATACATTTTTCCATCTACATTTGGTGGAGAGGAGTGACTTATATGTAGATAGAAAAATGTATGCGTGGAGACAGTATGTTCCGCCCCCCCCCTTCGGGGGGGGGCTTCACCTCGTTAAAAATAACCCTACCCACCCTATGTCAGAGGTGTGGAGTGGATCTCGCTTCACGTGGAAAGTTGCAAACCCATATGGAAGAGTACAACGGCGGAAGTACATGCGAGGAGACAGTATGTTCCGTTGTTGGGGATGTCTTCCCGAGTCATTTCATATATACATGTGTATGTATATAAGGGCCGGACTCAAATAGTTTCGAAGATACAGGTTGAGAAAGGATACAAATAATAAATATATAAATAAACGTCTAATTATGATTTATTCATCACTATTATTAGAAATATATATGAAGACTTTCAAACGTAAACAAACAGGGACTACCGCACCTCTCTGCATGCAGGGATGGGTGGGGGTGGCTCTCGGTATGCGTGGAATGTTACAAACCTATATTATCTCCGAAACGTAAACAAACAGGGACAACCGCACCTCTCCGCATGCAAGGATGGGTGGGGGTGGATCTCGGTATACGTGAAATATTACAAACCTATATTATTATTTGTAACCTTTTTCAGCCTGTATCTCCGAAACTATTTGAGTCCGCCCCTTATATATATATATGAAATGACTCGGGAAGACATCCCCAACAACATATTTAAAAATAAAACAAATCGGAGAGGAAGTCGCTTTTATGCATAATTACCAAAAATTCATTTAATTTAAAAATTACAAGTTGATTTCTTATCACAGATTGTCGCTACTTTGGGAACGACTGCTAGTTGTGCTTTTGATCGTCTCGATGAAATTGGTATTATAGCGAATCGCGAAGACGTTTGGTTGCATGTGGATGCTGCTTATGCAGGTATAGATTAATTTCCTTCTTCTATGATAAAAGTAATTATGATTTCTTCAATTTATAAAACAGAGCTAAAACAAATCCAATTGATTACAGGATCTGCTTTTATTTGTCCGGAATTCAGATATTTAATGAAAGGTATTGAAATGGTAAATTCATTCAATTTCAACCCTCATAAATGGATGTTAGTTAATTTCGACTGCTCTGTCCTGTGGCTTAAGAATCCGACATATTTGACAAACGCTTTCAATGTGGAAGCTGAGTTTGTAAAGCATGAGATGCAGGGTTTGGTGACAGATTACAGGGTAACTATTGTTAATACAATCCAATTTGCATTATCTGATTAATAAAATAATTTTAGGAAACACTTGATCATTACTGTCGTTAAACTTTCTGATTGAGCGTATTTTGTTAAAGCATTGGCAGATTCCACTTGGACGTAGATTCAGATCTCTGAAACTTTGGTTTGTATTGAGGCTTTACGGGGTCGAAAATCTACAAAAGTATATTAGATCACACGTCGCTCAAGCGCACGAGTTCGAAGCATTAGTTCTTTCTGATCCTCGATTCGAAATCATAGGCGAAGTTGTCATGGGATTGGTTTGTTTCCGATTGAAGGTAAATCGATGGTCAGAAATCGGTAGTATCGATAATCGAGTAGTGCGGCAGATGCGGAACCCGGCGGCGTCTTATTTTAGTTTAGTAACATCAACTCTCTTATAACTGAAACTCGGTTACTTAATGTGTCGGGTACAATAAAAGTGTTCTCCCGTTCTGAACATATACCCGATTATTCTATACATTACATTCATATTTTCTCAAATATATTTGCAAAAAGATTCTTTCTTGACAACTCCTATATAGATGTGTATACAATATTATATTTATTTAGAAAAGATAATTTAATTTGCGAATAGGTAATTGGAATCTATCAACTGAATGGATGAATGTATTTAGGAATAATAATTGATTGGTTAATATGTTTTTATAAAAACGTAGGAAAATAACACATCTAATTCCATAATATTTTACAGGGATCCAACGAACTCAACGAAGCCTTGCTAAAGAAAATCAACGATGCAGGAAACATCTATCTCATTCCAGCGACAACAAAGTGCACGTACTACTTGCGATTTGCCGTCGTTTCTCGATTCAGCGAGATCAAGGATATACAGTATTCATGGAAAGAGATCCAACTGAGAGCAAATGAGATTCTTGAAGACTACAATCGATTATGAAGCAATGGCGCGCTCAGATAGCTCGCGGTTGCGGATTGTCTGCGCCTGCCACTTGCAACCAGTTCTAGTTTTAAGTACTTTCTTGCACCCAACAGGTATTGAGGGCCGATAATAAAATAAGCCAAAGTAGTGAATGATTAGGGATTGTCTTAGACAAAAATATGATAAAAATAATTTTTCCAAAAAGATTCAAATTACAGATGAGTAAACAACGCTTCAAGAATGTGATCTTTGCAATCAGAGAGAATTACGTATCATTGGTGAGGTTTGATGCAGAAACCTTTTGTATCGATGCAAGCACACGCATGTAATATATTCTCTTCTGTCGATTAAAAAAATTTCTAAATTATCGAAATAGGAAAATACCGTCAATGCGATAAAAAATGTCGGATACAACTACGTCAACATAAATAATAAAAGGCATTTAATAATCGAGGGAAATATATACATATAATATTATTTAAGATAATAAGATAATAAAATATCGGTATGCGGGTTAGAAATAAAATATACAGTTTTTAGAATTATTAATTAAAACAGGGAGCCTATCGTCAACCTAACTGACAAATTTTTTTATCTAAAACATTACAACGTCTCGACTCTAAGTGGACTGCTTTTCAATACTGCAAATTAACAAATATACGAAGTTAAAATTATCAATTAGTTATCAAGTAAAAAGAAAGAAGGTAAATTAACGAACCAAAGCGACTCATCGTCATCCATGAGACAGAGTCAAACGAGAAAAATACAAGCACATCCGAGCATTGCGGATGTTCGATTCGAGCTAATTAGGTAACGTCGTAAAAACAAACAATGTGTTATTACGACCTTCATAGACAATATCAAATTAGTTAAACAGGTAAAAATATCATGTTAACAAATTTTAATTTTCAATTCTCCAACCGTTATCTCATCATAATTGTTCAACATAAAATTAACGAACTATCTATTGTACTTGATAATTGCTATAATTTCGCTTGACATTTGAGCCAAAGCGATTGGTGTCTTGTCTGATTGTGAGTCAAACTCTCTCTCTCAGTGTAGGCGTCAAGAAAATATTTGAGTGAATATATGACGGCAATCATTGATAGTTAACAAGCAGAAAATGTATAAATGAGAAACAGCGGTAAGATTGACAACTGTGACGCGATTTTCTTTCTTTTCGAATGACAGGCGGTAGATGCTGAGGCCAGATGCGCTCGAGAAATGCGCTAAACCGACCGCGTGAGTTACAAGGGAGTGACCAGGCGAGAGCTAGAGGTATCCGATGGCAGTTCATATAGCTTCGAGATATTTCAGTCCCTTAATATGACACGGTGGTAATAAACCGCTCTTGCGAGTCCATCTCGCGTTGCCTAATGTATTCATAGAATTTTTCGAACGAGTTCATTACCCGTTAAGCTGTTGGAAAGCTTATTAGAGCCGCAGTAAACTTGACATTTTATTTTCAACACGCGAAACCTTTTATATAACAATTCCGTTTTCACCCGCAATAGTTCTACAGTTTCGGGTAGGTTTTAGAAATTGTTCCGTTGATAGAAAAAAAATTGCATTTGAAAATATACGAGATGTTTCATAGCAAGAAAGTTACGTTGCAAAAAACGTCATTTCGACTATAACATTTTTTTCAGTTCTAGGATGTTTCTGTGGTTCCCGATAAAATTTAACAATATGTGCATAGCTCCACTATTTTGAAGCAACGTTTTAAATTAACCATTGACACGTCATTTTAGAAAAAATAAAACCGCGTTGGCATTCAGATATGTTTTACGAGCGAATGCATTGTTAATTAAAATGACAGTTTTGAAAAAATGGGGTGCCAGCTTCGCAGTGGCGTTAAAGCTTCACTTCTATCTACAACATTATTAACACATTTCCCACAATAAACTGAATTATTAAATCAACATAACAATACCGTTTTGGGCTACCGGAAGTTTCGAATATTGATACTGATATTAAACAGAAACGGTGGCGGTACGAATCGCTTATCAGAAACAAACCCTGCGTCCCAGCAACGCGATTAATACATTAAATCACGTTAATATTACAGCACATAATAAATCACGTTAATATTCCACGAGAATCTGCTTTGACGTACCGCTTTGTCGCTCGAGGAGACTGAAAGTAAGAAGCCCCGGGGTACCGGGATCTGTCGGCTGATACCCGATACGTCTGGTCCCCCATTATTATTCCTAACGTAAGGTGGATATTAGCCGCCTACTGGACAATCGACGGCGATGCCGTAACTGGTCTACGACGTGCATCAGCAAATGAAACGAGGACTGCCGCGTTCGTTAAGCTGGTCAGCTGAACCGCGGCTCGTCCAAGAAACGATCGAACAAGAAAGCGTCCACATTAACCCTTTCGTTTCTATAAATTACAGCTTACCAGGTTCACCTCGTGAATTAACTTGACTGTAAGATATCACCCCAAGTTTTTCTCTGTATTGTTCAACAGATTTTCAAGAAATCCATGTGTTAAAATTAAACTATATTGTGTATTCATATGCATGTTAATTATGTGATTGCTACGGGCCGGAAACGAAGAGAAGAAATGCGGGAGAAAGCGCTTTTCTTAAACAATGTTTCCTAATTCAGTTACATAATAATTCTATTTCTTCCTTTGCGATTGTTAAATAATTTTCAAAATTGAAGAAATCCTACTTCAACGCTCGAGTATACGTTTCTGCAACTTAAAGATACAGAAACGCAGCAGAAGAGAGAGAATACATCCAGTCTGATAGTTAAAATAAAGGACACCGGCCGCGGCATCTAATTACTAATTCCAGGATAAATTCCAGTTTCTAAGAATGTTCCGTATCGATTACGGATTAACGATAATAACAAAGCGGGCGGAATGACACGTTGACATCAATTACGGCGCGGCGAGGACGGCGAGCGTGCGTGAAAAACCGCGGTGGAACGCCCTGGTCCCCACGTCGTACTCGCTCATGCATTATAAATTCCGATTGTTTAATGTACGCCGCTCGCATTCGCGCTCGCCGTCGCGAAACCAGATCCGGAAAAGATATAACAGGTTTATCTCGCATGACTCGTAGGACGGGGCCTCAAACGGGGATAATAAGGCGAGCGCGTTCGGCCGCTCGGCATGTACCTGCCTGCGTGTGCATGTGCGTAAACAGGTGCGCTTCATTTACCGCGTCAGAATAGGCGAGATTCTTCGCCGGCGCCGCGAGACTCTTTCCGCGAAGGTGCAATTATTCCCTGATGGATATTGATTTATGCAACGCTTGTCAGGGGGAGGGGAGGGAGGGCACGGCACAGCGGGATGAGTGATGAGTGTAAAAAATGTCACGCACAAAATCAAAACTTGTGCTCTCTTGGCACGTGTCTTAACGAGGCTTAGGTCCCTCGGTTTGGAAAAACTGACGGTGTTACTACACTGAGAAAAATGCCCGATTGAATCTAATCGGATAATCCAATTGCATAATAACAAACCGATATGTCCAATTAAATTGTATAGCCGATGAAAAATATGATCGGTTTTTCAAACGTCGGTAACTGCATTTCATCGGATGTATCCATAATTTAATCGGGAAACGTAATCGGAAAAATTAACCATCGAAAACACTGTTCAATTGGTTTATCCGATGGAAATTTTTCTCAGTGTATCTATGATAAGCATGATTGGCGCTAGATTGATTCTATTTTGTGATACGTTGAAGTGTAATAGGGTAAGCGAACCTATTTCGGAACAGCACCTATTTCGGAACACTTTAATTTTGCTCCTGTTAGCTGTCACGTAATGTCAAATTTTAATGCTGGTGATAAAGAGCATTATAAATAAAGTTTGTGATGTGAAGAAATGAGCAGTAGATACAGAAAATAATTGACAATAGTATATTTTTGTTATTGGTTGTCATGACAGGGCGCTTCTGAGCGGGATGAGTTACGGTAAGTATGGTAAGTAGGTACAATAATTTCATATTTCTCTTATATTACTTGCTCGTTCTCTTATATTTTGGACTTAAACAACAGTTAAAGGTTCAAGGAAGATAATCGTTGCTTAATTGAATTATGAAACTATGTTGTTGCGAAATGCGGCTGTATATGAAAACAGCTGTTCCGAATTAGGTGCAGGTGAACCTAATTCGGAACAAATTTAGTACTTGAATTGATTGTCCGCCATTTAAAAACAAAGTCTTCTTCAAATATTGATTTATGCCTAATTAATAGTTAAAGGATGACTTCTTAACTAGCATATATCAGATTTGTTTTAGAAGATTTTATGTAAAAAATACAGCAAGTTTTTTTAAAAAGTCTTCCGAAATAGGTTCGCTTACCCTAGCATTGGATCCGGAAATTTTTTCTGTCGATGTATATCCGAGGAAAAATGTGATCGATGTTTCAATCAAGTTTCATCGGATGTATCCATAATTGAATCGGGAAAAGTATATAACCATCGAAATCACTGCTTCATTGGTTCATCCGATGACAATTGTTCTCAGCGTACGCTTCGAGCTTTTAATAAATTCACTTGCATCTCAAAGATTGACATTCAATAATCTCTTCCCCCTTTACGGTACGCGCTGGCTTATCAATCGGTCGCCCCGGAATAATTTGTACGATACAACGGCAAGGCTCTGAAATCCTTGTGTCGATACTCTTTGAGATACGCGTTCGTACTTGGCGCGCTTGAAAATTACAGGTGCAGGCGCTGATTCGAGCGCAATCGCTAATTACGCCGCACAACGGGTGTTAAACCGGCCCGTGTGCGCACCACGCTTCTTCGATTCTGACGGAACAATAATAACCCGTCGCGTCGATCTCTTCTAACAAGGCCCGTGTACGTGATCTTAAGACGCTGCGTTTGTACGCATTACCACAATTTACTTCGGTCTTAAACAGATATTTTGCCATAACGGATTACGTCCCGAGCCAACTCAGCGTCAACACGATCGAGCTTGTCGCTCCTTCACGCGTCGCCCTTAGCAATAATAATATGCTAAAAAGACGAATGCGAGAAGCGGTTCGCCTACTTTCTCCAGTTTTAATTCCTCGTTTGTAAACGAAAAAGATTTCTAAGACTTCGTTTCCGAAATTGTTCGTCTCGTTTGGTTTTCCGCGTACAGAGACCGAGTATACGGTTTCGTTCGGAATATTCCAACTCTTGCGATCTCAGGTCGATCGTACGAAAACCTTTGCTCCCGAATTAGCAATTGGCAGCCTCTAAATTATGTGTGAACCAATACCAAAAATTAATTAAATCCGATTAGCATTTATTTTCTACCTAGCACATTGATAACACCTTTACGTCAGAAATTACTACGCTGTAAGGAATTTATGTCTCGAGACGAGACAAATTAATTCCGCCTATAATAATAACTCAGCAAGCCTGAAAGCTGGCTCG